GGCAGCACGAGAAAACAAAATTATAGAAAAGTTGTCGTGAAGAAAAACTCATGGAACTTACCTGCACCGGGCAGTTAAAGAACAACCCTAGAGTCTCAGGTTGTTGCTGGCTAATTAGCAATTTAATTGACAGCAGCTGAGAACTGACATGTCATTATATTACAAAGCATTTACGTCAATTTACTAATTGGCTATCGCATTTGAGTTGTAAACGAAGCCGTTTTGCAATGAAAGGATCCAGCGAGTTAAATACATGTAAACATTTTAATACAAAACATTCCCTATCATTTCAGCTTTAGGAAATAAACGCTACTAGTTAGCCAAGAGATTGATACAGGGTTAGCCAAACGATGGTAGCGTCCCACACAGTTAACCATAAGGTGAATTCATGGCACAAAAGTTGTGTAGACAACCGACTTGCAAGTCAAATTTTGGCAAAAGACGGACTTACTCAGTTTGAATGCTGTGGGGAATGCCGGTCGCTAACGGCCGAGCTGATCACGTTAGTTAGCTGGCTAGCCTAGCCTAGCACTTTCAGCTAGCTAACTAGCTGGGGGACTGGGGATAAATGCCCACCCAGCGAGCACAAAATCGTGAGCCGGTAGAGTTGTCGCTGTGATTTCAGGGAGCACACACTATAGAGGGGTAACCTAACACAATAAGACTGGTCCAAAACAACAAATTAAATCACACGGAACCGGTGAAATCTCAAATAATAGTCTTCTCTTTCTCTGTTTTCTAAGTCGTAGCAGAAATTTTCCTCTGATCACCGCTTTAAGAAGGTCCTGGCAAAGATTACGCCGTGACCAGCGCGCCTTTGTAAAAATTAAAATTGGCAGGTGTTCGTTGGCGATAGTTATTTTGAAATCTAAATCAATATATGACAATTAATTTCCCAATAAATTGGTTTATACGTATGTATATAACATATTGAAAATGTAAATAGCGTTGTAGTGATTTTTTTATACTACGGTAAAAGGCACTTGACAGGCATTATTAGAGACGGCCATATTTTGTCTCAGGATTCGCTCGATTTGTGATTCTCCACCGCTTGTCTCCTGGTGGTCCGTATGAAAATAAAGACCCCGTCCTCGCGGGCAGTCAACGACTGACATTTCGTGTCATCGTCGTTAAACTGAGGGGACCTTAAGTACGTTCTTCCCGTGTGAAGTAAACATTTCAGAATGTAAACTGTTGTAGAGGGAGGTGTATGAAAAACACCACCCCATATTGAGAAGTTTATTAAGCAGACCTTGACTCTTACAACTACCACAACCAGTTTAGTGTGGAGCGGCAGCGGAGGTTGTTGCTGTTGACAACTGTGTATCGAAGACACCAAGTGGTCACGTGATAAGGAAAACAAACGCGCGGCACTTTGTAAAGAGTTTTAACGTGAGGATAAATGAAGGTAATTTTGTCATGTAAGCTACAACAGCCTTCAAAGTGTAAAATGAGGATGATTGTATATGAGAAGTGATACGATTCGGTGCTCTGTATAATAGCCGCTTGAAAAATGCAAAGTAGCGGCGGAAACTCAGATCCAGTAAGACCCCGTTTAAACTATGTCAGATCTCGTGGCGAAGCAAAACAAATGCGCAAAATTCACATCAGAAAGGTCGCTTACAGAGTTGGATACAGCTGGAACAAAGGTGGAAGACTCAAGGAGCTGAGAATAAGGTGCTGAGACTATTCCTTGACCCATTGTTATCATGTTACTGTCTTCCTGAAAATTAAGTCTCCATTCTTTTAACTTCTGCAGGCACCTTGCAAGAAAGTTTCTGAAGATATGGATACAGAACACCTTTGGCCGAGTTCTTCCTCATGAAGCAAAGTAACCTGTTTCATTTATTTTGGAAATTGAAAGCATTTTCAAGTTTGCCATCTGGTTGCCCTCGTTTTCCTACCTGCTCACTAATTCCAGTGTTTTCCAGGTCGCATTATAACAGAGTGGTACTGAGAAGAACCTTTGAAGGATGGAGAGATGAGTGGTGGTCATCCAGGAGGGAGTGGAGTCTGAACATGCGAGCAGACTGTCACTACAGGTCATTACAGTACATTATAGGACATTATGAAGGACTTTTATAGTTGAATAACCAAAGTCTGTTCATGTATTCATGCTGCTTTTATTTCAGGTATTACCTGTGCAACTGGACTCTCCACAGCTGGCGAATGTTTGTGTGTTTGCAGAGGGAAAAGAAGATGCAACAGCAAAAGGCTCAGTCATTTGGTGTGACTTTTACCATTCAAGCGTAATGTTGGTTTGGGGATTTTTTTTTTTTTGTCAGATTTCATAATTCACTGACGTGTCATCACCCACTTTGTTTCTATTATCAGCTGACAAGCAGCGGATGCGTCTGGTGTTGGACAGATGGGAGGTTTTCACAGAGATGAGAAGACTGAAGAGCAGAATGCTGGAATCAGCTCTTGAGCAGTACAGGCTCTCAGCTATGCAGTGAGATTTGTGTTAGCAAATGAAAACTTCTAGCATTATGATTTTTACCATAATATTGGTTTTACCTTTGTTTTTGTTTTGCAGCTCAGTGTGGAGCTTGTGGCAGACTAGATTACAGCACCGTCGAGACCTTCACATTTTGGAGGATCAAGCACAGAAACAGAGGGCGCTAACCTTAAAGACAAGGGTAAGGGCGTGATCGAACACCCCTGTGAATCACATGTTAATATTTATCATAGTAATAATAAAATAACAACAATAACTTTTTTCAATACTGCACCTTTCAAAACAAAGTGACAAACTACAAATGTTTAAGAAGAATTAAAGTGAAACAACATAAAGTGTGAACACTGACATTAGAAGAAGTTCAAGGCAGTAGAATAAGACAAATCTTATTTTTATAATAATGGATTGGATTTTATATAAGCGCTTTTCAAGGCACCCAAAGCGCTTTACAATGCCATTATTCATTCACTCTCACATTCACACACTGGTGGAGGCAAGCTGCGGTTGGAGCCACAGCTGTCCTGGGGCAGACTGACAGAAGCGAGGCTGCCATATCGCGCCATCGGCCCCTCTGGCCAACAACAGTAGGCGGTAGAGTAAAGTGTCTTGCCCAAGGACACAACGACCAGGACAGAGAGCCCGGGGATCGAACCGGCGACCTTCCAGTTACAGATACGCTTCCCAAGCCCCTGAGCCACGGTCGCCCCTTATAAAGATAAAGACAATTAAAATTATAAACATGTAAATTAAAAGCAATTATGAAAAATTAAAATAAATAAAAATTATCACCAAGAATAAATGAAGGACAACATTCATTTCAAAGCAGAGGCACAGTAAAAACTTGCTCATCAAAGTATGTCTTTAAGAGAGATTTATGGTGATGATAGATGATAGTTGATAGGTTTGTAGCATAAACCTATTCGCTGGAATGTTAAGGACAATCTGCTACGCAGCAAAAGCAAGACACAAGGCACCAAAGTTCTCTGGTTCACTCATGCATGAGGGAGACCTGGCTGGGGCCGAGTGTCGTTCCACCACTTGACCACCGTCAGACTCTCAGGCAGGTCCCCCATAGCACTCCTTTTATTGTGGTTACATGAATATGCATAGGGTCATTAACATATAACATCTACATAGGTAACTGTGAACAAAGAATACTGTGTGTGTGTGTGTGTGTGTGTGTGTGTGAGGTCCAGATGTGACCCTGTGAAGACTCCCCAAAGCTGGTGCCAGGAGTCTAGCGGTCATCTGAACAAAGGCTCTTATACTTAAACAGATATACGTGTGCTTGCTTATACCATATATCAGCAGAGAAGATACGACCTCTCCTAGGAGGTGTGATCTACGCCGGAACACTCTGTAGAGGGAGTGAACGCACTCCCCCTTCATGCTACACAGAGCTGTTACAGACCTCCTAGGATGAGACATTCTTTCAATCTACAAATGATTATACACCTCTAAGCATATATGGTTAAATGTTTCTAAATACAAATGACAATAACAAAATCTAAACCCATCAATAGTAAGCTCGGCAGTCTGATCTACTCAGTTAGGCTGTTCCAATCTGTCAAACTAATTAGATAAAGATGACCCAAGGAAATACAAAAAATAATAATAACAATATTATATTGATAATTTCATCTGTTGTTATTATTGAATTTTAAATTAACTGTGATTAATCACATTCTTTAGAAAGTTGAGTTCAATTTTAATAGCCACACCTCAGCCTGATTCAAGGCAGACCTGTTGAATCAAGAAATAATGGAAATGGAACCTGTCAGACGAAGTCAAGTAGATTCACATCATACCACCATCTCCCTTTGGAAGGTTTGAGTCCCGTTACATCTGGCATAAAACTCACACAGTATTTCATAAAAGAAACATTACACCAGCAGTCAAACATGGTGGTGACTCTGTGATGGACCATGAATTCTGCTCTTTACCAGAAAATCCTGAATGAGAATGTCCAGCCATCAGTTCATGCTCTGAAATTCAGACGCACTTGGGCTATGCAGCAGAACAATGATCCAAAACACACCAGTGCGACTGAATTGAAATAATTCTGCAAAGAAGAGTTAGCCAAGATTCCTCCACAGGGATGTGAAAGACTCATTATCAGTTATTGCAAACACCTGATTTTAGTTCTCGTTGTCAGGGGTGGCACAAACAGTCATTAGGTTTAGGGAGAATTGCTTTATCGCACAGGGCCTTGTAGGTTTGGATTATTTTTATCCTTGATAAATGAAATCATTACTTAAAACTGCATTTCATATGAACCTCAGTTATTTTTTATCTAATATTAACATTTGATCTGAAACATTTAAGTGAGATAAATGTGCAAAAATAAATCAGGAATGGGAAAATAGCTCAGTTATACGACATCCTGTGAAAACTAACTCTTACTGAGTCTAAGTCCTAACAGCATAAAATACGACTGAATTGAAATGCTTATCTAAGCTGAGGTGGTTGTCACTTATATTATGCCCATGGACGACATGCTCCCAGGGTAAATGTATAAAGAAAACCAAAGAGTAGTGAACCTTGAGGTATATTACTCCTGTGTGTTCTCTCTGGTGATGAGTCACCTGATATATTTTGTATTGAAGGCTTGGCTTCAGTGGAAGAGATGCAGACGGCTGCTTCTTGCCAGAAAGAAAAAGAATCCAGAGCTGCGTTTCATTATATCTCCGGATGAAAAGAAGAGCTTTGCATCAGTGGATAAGATATGTGTCGTATCGCCACACCAGAAAGAAACACAAGGTCATTATAAAATACCCACACAGCTTTCTTGAACATTCATTATTTTGCTATCTCTTAACACATTTTTATTTTTGTTCTTTTGTGTTTCGCCTTCAGTTTTGGCTCAGCGTGCCTGCTCTCGCCTCCTGGTGAGGAAGTGTTGGAGTAAATGGAGGAAATGCTCTCGATTGCAAACACAGTGAAGAGACCCGTTTGCAAGCAGCAGCCAGTTTGGCCACGCAGAGCATCCAGTGCAGAGCACTAGTGCGTTGGAGAGCTTGTATCCTGATCCACCTGTAGAATGGATAAAACTTGGATAAACTAGTTTTTTCTACCTGCTACTAAATCAGTTTTAAGTTATTAGCACTGTTGTTTGATTCTTGAGCTCTTCAGTAGATGTGGCATTGTGCAGAGAAGAAACTGAAAGAAAGAATGCAGCAAATCAACACTACCAACATCATTTAATGGTAATAAATAAATAAATAATGGACCCACTCATAAGCAAAGATCAGCACGATCAATTCATGTATTCATCTCAGCACATTCTCATTGCAGCGTGCTGGATTGCGAGGGTTGTCTCTTAATGTCGTGTTGAACAAAACATATCGGACTGAACAACCGTATGGCTATCCAACATTGTCAGCAAACGGTAACTGATCTTCACACTGCAGACAGTCAGTGTTAATCTCATTGAAGGTTTCAAAGCATCTGAAATGCTTTTTTTTTTTTTTTTGCGCAGATGACTCGTAAGTACTGGAAACTATGGCAGGATCGTGTGGAGGAAGCTGAAAACTGCAGTTTTAACTCCTCATAGAGATGGCCCTGAGTAACTACAGGTGCTCTTACATACATTTCCCAATCCACAGGGCTATATTCACAGTTCTTTGTTGTAATACCGGTGCTACAAATGGAATTTGGTTCTCGTTGCAGCACTTCACTGCTTAGAAGACATTTTCACCACTGGAGAGAGAAACTTGCTGAGCAGAGATACATGCAGGTATTTTCAAATACACTCAAGACAGCAGGATACAGATGCTTTTACATTACAACACAATCAACTTGTTATGTTTTGTTTTTTTTTATTTTTTTACAGGAACTGGAGCGTCGTGCAGACATTTGGTTTGTAGACCGTATGCTACCTCGGTGTTTCCAGTCTTGGGTTGAGTTTACCCTCCACAGCAGATGCTTCAACAGAGAGACTCAAAGCTCAAGCTTATAATCGGTGAGTCATCACCTTTCTCCTCTTCAGTTATGCAACTCTTCCCAAGAAATTAAAATAACAATATACCTTTTAAATTTGGCTGCTTTCCCCTTTAAGGTTCTTATTTTTTTGGCTTCTCTGGGCCACTTTCAGTGTGGATGCTGTTTTTAGACCCTCTATTTTTAGATCACTGGTCCCATTCTGAGTGGTGGGATGCACGCATACAGATTCACCACAGTCTTTAAACAGAAAGCAGAAAGCAGACATCATCTTCTGTGCCAAATTGACCCCAATTTTATTGAGGATCATTTTTGCTCGTGGGAGCTGGTCTCTGGCTGTAACTCAAAGACAAAAAAGGTAGTTTCTATGGAACTGTCTGTGGTATCCAAGCCCTGAGGCACCACAATCAGGAATCATTTCCCAGGCAGTCAGAGTATCAGATTGACTTTATTTAGGCATCTCAGGGAGAACATTCAGTTTGCACTATCTAGACTTTGGTTTGTACTGGTTTGTGTGTAGACTTTGTAGTTTTCAACCTCAGTGGGTGGATGAATATGTCCAAATGATCTGTCTGTCCACTGTGTTGTCAGGCGGCGCCAGTGCGCCTGGGTGTTTTACACCTGGTGGGGGAAGTTGGAGAAGCTCAAGGAAGAGATGCTTTCTGAGCGGCTGGTACGTCAACTGCAGATGAAAACTTTGTTGTGGTGCACTGCACTGGTGATAAATAACATTTAAGTTTTTCCAGGCAGTTCTTCATGACGAGAGATGCCAGAAGCAGAGAGTCTGGACGCGATGGAGGCAGCGCACACAAGAGCGGATCAAAGAGGTGGAGAAACAGGAGGCTTCACGTAGTCTGTATCGTCGCACACTTCTACACAGGACGATGATGCAGTGGAAGGAAACAGCACTGAGCTACGAGACAGGTGAAGCTCAAGAAGACGTTTTGGTGAAGTTGTTGAATAATTTGGGCTTGAGCTAAATGTGCTGTCGGCTAATAGAATCGTTTATTTGTTTTACTTCAGGAGAAACAGAGAGCAGCAGGCCTGCCATCAGGGTGATTTGCGCTGCTTAAGAAAGGCTGTAGAAAAATGGGAAAAGGTGATTATTTTACATTTTTGTTGAGTCTAGTCTGCACTCCATCTGTTACTTTAGTCATTGTGCAGTAAGGAATCAGTGCTTAAGATTTGAAAAAGACTGAAAGAATTTGCTTTTTGATGTGGAAATGTGTATCTTATAAATTCTGCTCAGCATCTCTGACAGCATGAGACTGCCTAAATGAGACCAAAGCTTTGGAGTGCCATTATGAAAGCTGATAGATTTTTCTTCCCCGCTTTGATTTTTATTATATTCATGTGTGATGTATCCGTTTTCTTTTTTCTCTGTGTGTGTCAGTTTGTTCAGGTCCAGAGAGAAAAGAAAAGCAGGCTGGAAGAGGTTCAGAGTTGGCATGAAGTTAAACTTCTAAAACACTCCTTTGTGGCCTGGAAGGTGCACATCTTATATCAGTTAAAACCACATGATTTTATTTGTTTAGGGTCATGAAAACAATGTTGAAGTCTATGCATTGTGGCCTGCTGTATTCACAGAAACACCACCTGCAGATGTCTCAGATCTATGACAATGCAGAGGAGCTTCACAAGCAGCACACTCAGTGTTTTCTCAGGTAATAAAGACAAATACTGTGTTTCATTCTAAAATCAGAATTTCATTTCTTCTGTTTAGAAATCCTAGGTGTTTGTTAGGATCTTAAGTTTCAGTCATGTCTCTCCAGAGTGGCGCTTACTGAGTGGAGGGAAAATGCAGAGCAGCGAGCAGAGATCCGGCTCGAAGAGCAACAAGCACAGAATCACTTCGATCACTCCCTTCAGCTTAAGGTTACAAAGCGATCTGATGCATACATGTTCAACATCATCAGGCGTCTTCATATTTTCAACACCGATTGCTTTCTTTTCACTAAATCTTTCAAGGTGTTTCATACGTGGAGAGAAGCAACAACACTTGCGGTGTCAAAGCGCTTCCAGCAGAGGGAAGCACTAAGCAGGGCTCAGCAGTCTATAAATGAAAGTAATGTCATATGGTGCCATTTTAACTCCTTTTAGTTATTTATTTTTCTTTAAACAAACTTAACTTTGCTCTTGTGATTGCCACCTACCTGTAACCATTAAGAGCAGTGGTAAGTAATTTTGATATTCCAGCATGTCTTTCTTAGTCTTAGAGTTGTTTGGCTCTCATGGAAAGATACCGCCTAGACAAATGCAGCAGTTACCTCAGCAGTTGTCAAAGATTTTGTACCTGTTAAGTAACTGTTGCATCAGAACTGTGTTGTCTGGTTACCAGGTGTATCCAAATTGTTGTAAACTTTTTAATGATTTCTGTGTTTAGTGCGGTTGCTGCAATTTTTCAGACGATGGAGGAATCGGACCAGGGAGGCTCGGAGGGAGAGGATAATCATGGAAAAAGCCAGGAGACACCATAACTCCAAACTCCTTTCTAATGCGCTGAAAGCTTGGAAAGAGCATCACTACCAGCACCAGAAGAATAAGGTTCTAACTTCTTTTATCCCTCAATGCATATACATCTATACTGTCATCAAGCTGTAATCTAACTTGTTTAAAACTGTGATTTTGTAGGTGATGAAACGACAGGGACTGTTATTGCTGAGATTAAAAATGTACCAGATGTACTTTGAGCAGTGGAAAACAAAGGTTTGTTGATTTTCCTTTTTTTGTGGTCTGAACAGACTGATTGTTCAAAAGAAGTGAATATCTACCATTTGCTTCTATTTTGCTTTTACTGCTAATCATTTCTGTTAGGAAAAAGAGTTATGGGAAAACAGCAAAGTCAGACTTTAAATCAATAGATTTGATTCATCAAATCAGTATTTGGTGTGGACAGTCTTTACTTTTAAAATGGCATCAGTTCCCCTTACTTCATTTGCTCCCAGGTTTTTATGGCACTTTGAAGGTTGGTTTATTTTTGGCCATCTGAAGACCTTGCCACATTTCTTCTATGGATTTAGGCTGTCTCTGTGTATTCTGACTGTGCGATTTTTGAGATCTGTCTGTGTGTTTATTGTCGTCATGCTGCAAATGTGGCATTTCTAATGAATGAGTATTGATTGGTTTTGATTGAGAGCAGTTAAACAGGCTTTGGTTTTTCTTTCTGCTAACAGCTGCAGCACAGACAGCGAGAGGCGAAGCAAACGGAGAGAGCACTCTGGCACTGGTCCCTCACACTTCAGGCCAAGGTAAATAACCTGCCTCCACATTCTTTTCTCTCTACACCACCAAATGCATTGCAGAAATGGTGCTCACAGGGTCTAACAAGCCCTCTTATACTTTCTGGACCTGACGCAGGTGTTGTATGGGTGGAGGATTTGGGTCACAGAGCAGCGGAGAAAGCAAGAACATGCTGCCAGAGCTGCACTGGTCTACAGAGACCAGCTGCTGAGGGAGGGGGTGACATGCATCCTCACATATGCCGTTCATATGAATGATCTCACAACAAACCTAACACAACACAGTCAACTGCAAGTAGGTTATTGTGCATTTCTTGTGATTTCTAGACCTAAGATTTCAGTGCCTCACTTCTCTGCTTGTGTCCTGCAGAGATCACAACACCTCCAGAGAGTTGTTAAACGTTGTGCTGCACGGTGGAAGCAGCGGGCACTGTGCAAACCCCGAAGAGAGCAAGAGACGAGAGGGCAGCCAGCAAAAAGAGTGTGAGCTTCTGTCTGAGCAGTGTTTCATCTTCTGACTCAACAAAGCAGGAAGCTGCAGCTGGATTGCACAGCAAGCTGTGAGTGTGTACTTCACTCTGACAAGCCGTGAAACTGTTCCACACATGCAGTTTGACTTTTTTTTTTTTTTAGGCTGCATACCCAAACATTGCAGCCTTTAGTCCCATAAAGGGAAGAGAAGTTATCAGTAAAAGAAACATTGCTTCATGTTTTTTGATGGTAAAATCCTTTTTCCAATGCTGTATGTGGTAATACATGAAAATAAAAACAGAAGACAAGCATCTGAATATCGTTTGAACTATAATAAACTTACTTAAATTGAAGCATTGTGTTAAAAGTCAGTGTAGGAATCACTGATTAAAGCTTTTTCTTTTCTGTTTACTCAAGTACCCAGCCACAATCTGCCGTCACCAACATTAAAGCAGCTCCAAACTCATCTGAGTCCAGTCGTCCCACACAGAGAAACCATCCAGCGTCAAACTGCCGCCATGCTGATGAAGTTTTTGTTGCCTCTCCACATCAGTGCAGTGTCATGTCAACTGTGCCACCTTCTGAATCTCTAATGTCCAACATGGACTTTTTTCAGCACACCCAAAACCAAGAACCTCTTTTACCTCCTTCTGCTTTCATGACTACTGGGACACAGAATAAAGTAAGATAAGATACACCTGTTTGACATATCAGCAACTATTTGTTGCTGTATTAAGTAACTCAATTTGGGTTAAACCTTTTTTTCTTTTTAAGTTCAAATCAAGTCTTGGAGACTCTCCAGTTGAGCGTTTTCCTCAGTCTGTCACTTCTTTAGATCCCCACTCATCTGCATATCCAGGTATAGACCCTGCTCTTTTTTTCTAGAGTATGTTTTCAATATTTATAAAAAAAAAAAACAACAACTTATTAAATCACCAAACTCAAAAGAACTGTTTTGTTGCTTTTTCAAGAAACACGTCTGAGTGCATCTGGTGGAGAAACTGAGGTTCCTGATGCTAAAAATGCAACAAGTGATTCAACGTCAGCTCTGATGAGCGAGCTTCTCAGGATTCAACAGGACATGAAGAGTTTCCAGCTGGACAGAAAGCAGCTCCGGTAGAAATCTGTTTTTCCACTCTTCTTTTCTTTGCAATATGTGATGTGAAAATAGCACCGGTGTTTTATTCACTCAGGGCATGGCGAAAGCTGAAAGGGGTGTTACAGAGTTGGCTGCAGACCAGTGGAAAGGACGAAGTGATGGAAAAAAATGCTATCTGTCAAGAGTTGAAGGACGTAAGGACACAAGATACTTTTGTCACTGTTTATGTTGAACATAAACTTACATTGTTTGCTGTTACGCTATCTTGATTTAATCATCACAGCCCAAAATTTGGTGCCTTTCACATTTAGGTTCACATAAGTATTAAGCTTAGTACCCCAGTCACACAAGTGTAAAGACTAATTTTACACTTGCGTTCCCTAGCGAACGGTGGTTGCTAGGGAACCACCAAAAGTGCATATTCCTCAACTAGTTGAGCCAGGAACCACTCACCAACCTCTTTTGGAGTTGCCAAGCAGTCTCTACGCCTGTGTGAGTGAAGCTTTAGAGATTATTAATGAAGTGAACTGCCTTTTGTTGAAAAAAGTATTTTTGTTAGGTAATTCCTCGACCAGTTCTAGAGTAAGATATTTTAAATTCCTGACATTTCAAATATTATGCAATTATTGAATCTACAAAGTGTATAAGCACTTATAACAACAGATATCTTACGCAACAAGTAAGTGTGATAAGGTAGGAAACAGATTCAGTTATGACATACATTACCCTTTTCATTTTTTAACTATCTGTTATAAATCTAAGGGTTCACATTTATTTCCTTATGGAAAGGAAAACTTTGCAATGTGTGCATGTGCAGTCTTAATCATGATGCTAGTTACCTGAAGTAACTTCTGAAGTTTCTCTTCCTGATGGCTCAGATTTTCCATGCATTCTTCTACAGCGTCATTTGACCTGTAAATCTCTGTCTGTGGAGGAAAAGAAACTGAGCTGAGAGGGTGGTGCATTCAATTAAATTATTAAATTATTGTTCATGATACTGACTGTGTCACTCCTGGTGATTTTTCATTTGACAGTTGGAGGAGCTCATCGACAGGCTGTCCACTAAGCTGGAAAAACAGAAACCGGTGATGTTGCTGCACGCAAAGAGAATCCAGCATTTGCAGACTGTCCTCCGGAGTTTAGGACTTCATGCTCCTCATCAAAAACAGAAGAGTCAGAATCTCAAAACTCTGCATTTCCAACATGACAGGAATAATGGAGAGCGTGACGGGCTCACCTGCTGATTGTTTGAACTGTTGTTCACTTGCCAGCATCACATTTTAAAAAAATAGTCTGATCTTAGAACTGAATCAGCACATGCATATTTAACTACTCTGTGCTTATGTCTTTGCTGCCCTCAGCTGGTGGGGACCAATTTGAATGGTTCTTATTAATTATTGTGTAAAATGTCTTCGGCATTCCCAAAACATAAACGTCAAGTGCCTTAAAGGAACACTCAGCTCTATAGCTGTAAATCCAGCAAAACATTGGATAGGGGTCGTCCTTGTTGCAGATGGTGCAAAATATTTTCCATATGTGTGCAAAGAGTGACTTTACTGTTTTCGGAGGAGGTGCCCTTACGCAATAGGTCTGCTATTACCCTGTTTGTAGCAGTGCTTCTAGTACTTCAGAAAATCACTGAACTAAAATCACAGATTTTAGTTTAACAGAGAGGACTGCGGTCTGTTTGCAGAGTTATTATATCTTTGATCAAGAGCAAGTCAAAATGCAAGGATTTTATCCCATTTTACTCTTTTCCATCTTTGTGTGCTCTGTAAGTGGTAAGTGTTGTTACTGAACTAGGTGATTATTATTGTTTCTTGAAATATTTTATGTTCTTCAGCCTCGTATTGTTGAGGTGTTTTTGGTTCCTGTTACCATCTGTTTGGAGCATTTGCTTTTCAGGACATTAATAAAACTGAGTTTAATAATATGAATATTGTAGAGTCTTTTGAATTTACTGAAAGTTGGAAGGACTGTATGCATTCTTATGGCTGTTATTTTCTTTCTTTAACCATTTGAACTGCTCCCTTCATGGCAGCTAAGAAGATGCGATGGTGCGCAGTGTCAGATCCTGAACAGAGGAAGTGTGCAGAACTAGCTAAAGCTCTGGCAGCAGTGGTGTCACCAGCCACTCTGGCAGCTTTTGCCAGACTTTCATGCATACGAGCATCTAGCACAACTGACTGCATCAATAGGATCAAGGTGAGCAAGTCTACAATGCAATACACAATAAAAAGGCGTTTTAATCCAGCTTGGAGCAAATTATTTAAAGTTGCTTGCATATCAGTAACAAGGGTGATGAGCAGAGATGTAGTAAAGCTGATTCACCTTACCATGAAAATATGAAAAAGAGCTGTTAAAGCTAGGATAAGAACCGAGGTGATGATTAGTGAGCAGCAGTTTGGCTTCATGTTGAGAAAAAGCACAACAGATGCCATGTGTGCTTTAAGAGTGTTGATGGAAAAGTATGGAAAGATGGAAGGAGTTGCACTTGTCTTTATGGAGATAACATGATAAGGCGCCAAGAGAAGAACTGCGATACTGCACGAGGGAGTGCCAGAGAACTATGTGTGGATGGTGGACGACATGTATGAGGACAGTGGTGAGATATGTGATTGGAGTGACTCCTGTGTTCATGGTGGGGCTGGGTTTGACTTTTAGCCCCCTGTTTGCACTGGTGATAAGGCAGGCAGGTGAAAATGAGGTAAATAAAAATTTACCAAATGCAAATGAAAGTCACGAGAAGCAAGACAGAATATGTGTGCAGGACTATAAGAGAGAGAGAAGTGTAATAGTGAAGTTGCAAGGAGAACTACACTAATGAAATTAAGCTGTAAAATAAATGGATTACAAAACTCAATTAAAGCTGCAAGCAGCGTTATGAGGGCCCTCGCACCCCATCGCGTCGAGCCACGCCCAACACCTAAAACCAGCACCTCCGATCTGATGTCATATTGATGGAATTCATGCATTTAACCACCAGCTAACATTTCATCTCATTCAATCATCATTATAGTCGTCCCACTAGGTGGCGCTCTAACCATTACTGACAAATGGCATAACAAACATTTCCAAGCTCGAGTCTCATCACGCCTGCGACCTTTGGGAGAATTTGGACATTTAGATTTTGAGTGACAGCAGATTACTGCTTTTTGGCGAGTGATTGAAACTCCACGTGCCACCATGACAACCCCGTTTCCCTGAACGTAAAAAGCTTCGCAATTTAACATGACAAAGGTCTTTAGATTCCACACACTGGAGATTGGTTCAATATGATGAAATCCCTTGGAGGAGTACGTCAAAGAACGGTGCCTAAAAAGAGGGGAAAATGTTGCCAAAATTGCACATTAATTTTAAAATGGCTGACTTCCTGTTGGATTTGGGATATTGCTCCAAGAGACTTTTTTGTACACCTTGATATTTTCCATAAGCTTACCGGGTTTCAGAGTCACACATAAAACACAGAGCTGGGGCTGGGGTTTTGAAATTTTGTAGGGGGCGCTGTGGAGCCATTTTGGGATATTCAATGAAATTGATCACATGACAACAAAGCCTTCATCACATTGGAGGTGTGTGCCAAATTTCAAGCCTCTATAAACTTGCCAAGACCCTCAAAAGCCACTTCATCTTTCATGGTGAACAGCGTTGCCACCAGGGTGCGCCGTTCAGTTTAAAGTCACAATTTTTGCACTGAACATCACGAGGGACTGATGTTGATATTCTCCGCTTTTGAGGTGGCCACTATGAACCTGTGAAAATCAGTACAACAAAGTGTAAGACATGACATTTCCTGTTCCCACTAGGTGGCGCTCTTCATATTCCTGACAATGGGCACATCAATCTGTTCAGGGCGGGTGTGACATCATGCCTGTAAAGTCTGGTACTGATCAGACTGGATTTCATTGAGTTATACTAATTTGTTTCTTCATGGCGTGACATCAAAGT